CAGGGCTGGAAAACATGGTCTGTGTGGGTCATCAGAGAGGACCCCGAGCTGTGGTTTGATCTCCAGATACAGATGTTTAGGTGGGAGCAAGGTCTGGGCATTGCTGTCAGGTGCAATGGGATACCATGATGGCTCCTTGGATTTAGACAGTCAGCCTTGCTATGAAATCAGCCTTCCTAGGTGAGAGGGTAATTACAAAATAAAAAGCAAAGTGCTCAACCACCTCCTTGAGCCTTTAAGACAATATAGGATATCTTGTTAAGCACCAGGCTTTAGTCTGAGTGCTAAAAGAAAGTCACTGTTTATTCCTGAGCTCTGCGGTGCCTTCAGGAGTCTTGGATCAGAGCAAAGTTGCTGTGCTGGAAAACACTCAGTGCTCAGTTTTGGCCTGTTATCTAAAAATCTCTGGAAGACACCTAAAGGGCTGAGGTACTGGGAGTTACGTGTGGCCTGAGAGACCCTCTAGCACTATTTGGGGTCAAACAAGAGTACTGCCTGTGTTTATGGGATTTTGCTTGTTATTAACTCTAGTCCATGAATTACCACAGCTCAGGGACTGTCCAAACAAGACAAGGTGGACCTTGTTGCCAGGAGGCTCTGATTTGTGTGGATGCAGGAAAGGGCTGGGGAGACCCTGCTCCTAGGACCTCACAGCCTTGCAGCGCTGAGGTAGCTGGTAATGACTCCTGAGGCTCAATATCCAAAACAAAAGCCAGAGCCAACTATTTAAGACTTACAGGAATTTGCTGGAAACGGCTTACTCACACTATTCTGCTTTTGTCTGGAAAGGTCACTGAAACCTTGATTCCTCCAGTTGCAACCAAAGATCCTTCCTCTTTGCAGTGCAGCTCCAGGCTATAAAAATAGCACCATCTAATTAAAGATTAGTTCCCTCACTCCTCTTCTGAAAAATTAATAATTTTAACCAAATCACTGACACACAATAAATACTGAAGCTTGCATTGCGGGGTTGCCAGCTGTTCTGCAGAACTGACACTTCATGTCCTTCCGTGTCTGTCTGTCTGTGCCATTGAAGGTCACCAGAGTTGCATGTGAAGATTAAGGTTAACATGGCAATTGATTATTTTATTGAAAACTGAACACAATATTCTGAAGTGATTAATTTTAAGAAGACTGAGCATACTCTAGCAGGGGGTGTGTGTGAAAGAGTTTTATTTAAATTAAATTGTCTTCTTGTCTGTTATCCTCAGCTAACTTTTTGTTTCCTCTTCCAGTGCGCTGCAGCAGTTCAGATTGCATTGGTCCAAATTGGGCTTCACCTGCCTTCCTTAAATTAAGAGTTTCTCTGCATAGAACCAATGATTTCTAAATTATTTCCTGTGTCAATTGCTAAATAGCTCTAAATCCAACGCTGTGGGAGAGGATTTCTGGAGCATTCACTCACTTATTCTGAGGAAACAAAACAGTCATTTTCAATTTTTTTTTTTCTTTACAGTTGATGAAAATGCATGTAACTTGCTGAGCATCTCAGCTCTGCTCAAAATGACTGAATCAGACCCATTACTCCTTAGCTGGTCACAGGAAGTGAAATTATTACCTAAGGGCTTGTGTTGCAAGAAAGCATGACTGCTGCTCTCGGGCGCTGAATAGCTTTGCTTTACCTGAATTGGCAGGCACGTTTTTGGGCACATTTGAAGGAAATCCAGATTAAAAAAACCCTACTATCTGTAACAAGGGTGAATTCAGATCTGATACTGCCGTCCATTACTGGTGCTATTCAAGGCTGCTTCTTCCCACGGATATTGAACTAAATAAACTTAAAGTCAGAGAGGGCATTGCTTAATCACCAGGCTCTGAATACACTATTCTTCAGCAAAAACCTGCTCAGCTATTACAGGTTTCCGTGTCTTTAATAGCCAGCCTAATAGCTGATAGATTCACACTTCCCAAATAAGAGGCAGTTTTACCAATGGTTTTAAATCATTCCCCGTGGAAATAGAGAGTTGCATTAAATCCTAGTAATTAGGCAATTTCAGCTGTCTTCAGTGCTTTTGACTCTGCTGTTGCCTTGAGAGTTGGGATCCCTCTATGTCCTGCTACTGTGAACCCTCTCTCTGCTTGCCCATGCACGTGCTCACATATCCTTTAACTCCTTGTCTTCCCCAGTAAGAAATGCATTTTCTGGTTTCATTGTTATCTGAAAAACCACTGCAGGAAAAAAAAAGGTTTATGATCAACAGTGAGTCCATTTTAAATCAGCTCTTACGTTAACATCTGCTACAGCATTGGTTTTGTACTATTTGAAAACATGAAGTGATGTTTCTGTCTGACTATTTCAGAGTTATTTTTTCTTTGTGCTGATGAATAACATAAAGAATAGGATGATATTTTCCCCAGCTCTCTTTATCACAGTGGCTCTCCTGTGAGCTTTCCTGGCTTGCTATAACTCTTGCTATGAAGCACCTGACACAAATGCATTAGAAACCCTTTCACTGCTCTATTGATCAGCATTACTAAGTGCTGCAAATGCATGTGCATCTGGCTCACACATACTGTGGGCAAAGCAGAAATGAAAGCTGCAAACAGCATCCATGAATATTGGTTTGACGGCGACTTCCATCTCTTTTGATGATGTTTGTGCTCCCTCTTTACTAGTAATCATGGGGTGATTGTGGAAACAGGTTTTTGCTCGCTGATGGTGTTGTGATGGTGCATTTTTCATGAGCACCCAGAGCAGAAAGTATTGCACGGCCATCTTGAACTGGTCCAAAGCCACCCAGAATCAATGGGATTTTTCCAGTGAATTCAGTGGACTTTGGATCAGGCCCAGTAGGCACTGAGGAGTCATCTAATGAAAGAGCAGCCCTGAAACCCCATGGTTTAGATAGCCACTCACCCAGCACAAATAGCAAATTACAAACAGCAGATACTGGCAGCAACAGGCGTGAACAGTCTATAGTCAGCAATTCACAGCCTGAAATATGTTGGCATAAACAATACATCAGATAATTCCAGCTAACCAACACTTTTGTGAAAATCCAAGCCTGTTTATGGATAATTTTCAAATAGGCAAGTTCAGCAAGAAAAATATTTGCAAGAAAGAACCTATCCCTTTTTGCCTACTGATCATTTAGAAATGTTTTTTTGGGTATGAGCTGTCCTTGCGAGGCACTGGGTGACCTCAGGTAGGACCCGATGCGGGTGCTGGGCAGCCAAGCCTAGCCCTTATTCTGCTTTGGTTTCACTGTGGTTTTCTGCTTGGGCACAGTTTGTACGCACCTTTGCTGATGAGACTGAGTCATTTGGAGCAGTGAGAGTGAGAGCTGCCTGCAGCGAGATGCAAAAGTGTCTTGCAGCCCTGAGTGAGCTGGCAGGAAAATAGAAGGTGAAATTCAGGATAGGTAAATGTGAAGTTACATAGATAGAGAGGAAAAAAGTTTCCCAAATTCACACGCGTAAGAAGCACCTCCACAGTGACCCTCACCCTTCTGAGACAAGATCTTGGCTTGATGATAAATATTTCCATGAAAAGTTCTATGCAGTGCACATAATGGGGAGAAGAGCAAACTGAAGGCTGGGAATGATGATGATAATTTTTTACCTGCTGGCTACAGCACCCCTTGCTTTGTGCTCTCATGTGGCAAAGGCAGCTGCCATGATGGGGAGCTTGGGTTGTGCATGTGAAATCCAGCAGGGTTGTGCAGTAAAATAAAGTCTGCAGCTATGCGCTGGACACGTGGAAAAAAAACTTGCTTCAGGGCTCACTAAATGAGCTGCATGTGCCTAATGTATGGAGGACTGTAGAAAAAAAAATAGTTGCAATGGTATTTAGAGTTGGTAGCGTTATGTATGTGCAAGGAGAAAGAAAACAACCAAATGCAAGTAGCTTGGGAGCTTTCACAATGGCATTTCCCATCTTCTTGCTTTGCAGCTGAAAATTTAATATTAGTGTTAAGTTTGCAATGTGCGTGGTAGGCCAGGACATGACAGATGCGGAGAGGGTCAGGAATCCCACATCCATTGCATGGTGATGAGCAGAGGTCTGAGAAAGCCGGCCAACCTCTGCGATGCAGGGTGCATCAGCGCACAAGTGGTTAACAGGCTACCGCCCTCCTATAGGCACCAGCTCCTACAGACATTAGCTTTGTTCCTCTACATCCTATTTCCCTCAGCCCCTACAAAAATTTGTTTCCCCACCTCCTGCCTCCCTCCTGGGGGATCTCACTTTTCCCATTGTCGAGTTGTGCTTTATATTAATGCTTGCAAAGAGAGAGTGGCCATTGTTTGTAATTTAATTAGCATCATCCCCAGGAACTTAAAGCATGACAGAGGGAATTAGAGGTGGTGTATGAAAATGATGCACAGGCATGGGTAGAGGTTTAACCATTTTCATGCCAGCATGCTTTGTAGATGATACACACAGGATACGACTTTCTGAGCATGTGGAAATCACTAAATGCGGATGTTTAATCTGTGCCCTGGTGTTTCACAAACTTAGGGTGGCTACTCTTAAAAGAGAAAACTGAAATCTAAAGCTGCCCACCAACTTTCCATCTCAATTTCTGTCCAGCAGAATTTTTTTCTTAATTTTCTCCATTTTTCTGGATTTAAAAAAAAAAAAAAAAAATCTTTCTGCTCAGGATTGTTTTTCTATTGGACTATTGGACATTAGGGTTTTTTTTAAGAATAGGGGATGGTGAGTCCCTGAGTCAGATTATGAGGGAGGTCACAGGATTGCCATAGTTGGAGATTTTTCTGCACAGTCTGGACAAACGTTGGCCAAGAGCTCATAGACACTATCAGGATCATTACAGCTTTTTTAAGATATAACAGCAGCTGGAAGCCTTCTCTGACAGATGTGCCGCTATGTTTCCCCAAGGTATAGTAAGAGAGAGTCCTAAAGAGCTTGCAAGCAAAGCCAAGCCTGATGCACAAACCGAATCTAAAATCAGCAGGGAGTGAGAACAGCTTTGCGGAAAGGCTGATGCATGCAGGCACTTGTCTCTTCACTGTGCATCATTTTTTTGTCTTTGCTATAGGTGTCACAGCCTCATCGCACCTCTTTGACTATGGCTCCACCGCCAACGGGGGCGACAGCTCCTTCTACACCTCTCTGATCTCGGACGTCCACTACACCACCCCGCGGGACTCCACCTATTTCACGGGGATTTATCAGCAGGCAAACAGCCCCGTCCCCTGTGCTGGCAGCACAGAGGGGTTTAACACACTGGGGCATCCTGTTCAAGATGTGACTGGGTTTGAGTCCCGTGGCTTGTTTAGCTCAGATTCAGGAATCGAGATGACTCCTGCAGAGTCTACTGAAGTTGATAAAACCTTAGCAGATCCCATGAAAGTAGAAGCTTATAAATACATGGACATAAGTAGATCAGAAGAAAGAAAATACCAAGAAAAACATGACCCTGACTCAGAAGACGAGAGCCCAGGCCTTATTGATAAGTACCGGGGAATACCCACCAGGTCCAGCCACGCTGGTGAACCTCAGTGGACGGCTTCAGAGAGCACGAAGGCAGCCAAAGAACAAGACCCACTTGAAGATACAAGGTCTGAAGATCAGCACAGTGCCTCTGTGGTTACAGCCCCTGTCAAGATCACACTCACAGAGATAGAAAGTGCCAGGGAAGCTGCCAGCAAAGAGTCGAGCCCGACTCAGCCGGATACCGGCCTGAAGCCGAGCCATGAGGTGGTACCAACGGTGACAGTGTCAGAACCAGAAGATGACAGCCCGGGGTCTGTCACACCACCGTCCTCTGGCACAGGTAATGCTGGTGCATGATACCATTTGTTTTGTATTCAGTGAGTGGTTGCAATTGTAGCCCTGCATGTTTGAGAATTACAATGGTTTTGGGGGCTGGGTCTAAGGGAGTGCGAGCAGACATTAACAGGTCTCCATGGCTGGAGGTGTTTCTGCTCTGCTCTGGCACCACTTTGCCAAACTGAAGGGGCTTGCGAACCATGTTGCCCATCACTAACACACTGCTTGGGTGGGCTGCCCTTTCTGTATGAAAAGAGGGGAAGACAGGGCTGGGGATCCACAGAAATAAGATGCCAAAAGCCACTCGGGAGCAGGGCTAGGGTCAGCTCTTGCTGAGCCCAGAGTCCAAAGGGACCCCTCTTTGAGGGGCAGCCACGAGCTGGTGGGTATCATTGGGGGTACTGTCATCCAGGCAACAGTTTGGCTGGATCCCAGGATTTTGGGGTCTCTTGGTTACCCTGGCCAGCCACGCTCCCTAGAGGAAATGGGGTATGTGGGACCAGGGTGCTGCAAATGTCTAGGCTCATTTTTTTAAAATTTTAATGGCTGTTTTTACACCTCTTCGCTCTTGCGGAGAATAAGGCTAAATTGTTAAAAATAAGCACTGGTTTTGAGTGAAAGTGCTGCTTTTAGAAAGCACTGAGGAGGGAAATACTGTCACCCCATTTACAGAGGGGGCTGGAGGGACAAAGGGCCAGTTTCTTTTAAAGGTTCCTGATTTCTATTGTGGGGAGACCAAAATCCCTCATTTATAAATTTACTTACTGATTGCTGCAGTAGTATGTAATATCTTTTCCTCATTTTTCCTATTACACACTGCTACGCACTGCTAAAATATGAAAGTAGTAGACTGTTTTAAAGAGGAATAAAAATCTGTCATGGGAAGCAGAATTTTCAGAGTTGAAATTAAATTTCAACATCCTGGATCAAAGCCTTTTGACAATAAACATTTGACATTTGTCAAAGAACATCCCCAAGTTGAAATTTTCACTGTTTTGATGGCATCTAGAAGCACTTAAAAATCAACTGGAATTTCCTTAAAATGGCAGTCTGGGATTTCCACCCTTAGAGAAATACTGAGTGTGCATTTGCACACTTAGTCAAAAAAAACACCAACCCAAAAGAGCTTGAAGCAATCCACCACAGCTGTGTGCTTATCCTGCCTGAATCAGCCAGAAACTTCAGATAATAAATAGACTTTAGAGTCACATTTTTCTTCCTTTATTTGACTGGGTGACATCACGCGCTACTTCTGAGGCATGCCATTTTCTATTGATTTACACTTTTTGCACTAAGAGGTAATTAAGAATTTTGGGCCCTAATTGTAATTTATTCAGTCCTTGGCAACTGTTCAAAGCTGGCTTCATGACGCTTGATAACCGTATCCCATCGTAACAGCCGAATAGTGCATGGCTGAGCCTCACAGCTGCTGCCTTACTGGGAGGCACTGGTGTGGCCGGCATCTCTGCTGGCATGGTAATGTTCCTCTCCATGGGCAAAGCTGATTCCCAGCGCTGCTCAAACAGCCCTGGGAGGTCCCACGGCTTTGCATTTGGGTGCTGGAAAGCCACAAGTACTGCTTATCTATCATGTTAAGGAAAGAAGCAGGCATCTTCTTTTAGGGGCTGGCTCCCGCAGTGCATTTTCTCTGTATTTCCCCCTTTTCCCACAGCCGGGGACATGCTGCGCCCAGGCTCGACTTTCATAAGCGAGGAAGAAATGTAAAACCTGCCCTCACTATTTCTACCCAGTGACCCATCAAAGTCGTTGCTCCTAGATACCCCTCGAGCATCCTGGCAAAGCCCCCAGTTCTCCCCTCCTTGGATCAGGACTTTTGAAAACGGTTTGCTTTTAATTACTGGCCATCATCTTTCTGGGGAAGGAAGATATGGTCTGTTCATACACTGTGCTGGCACTGAAAGGCAGTGGGTATTTATATGCTTCCCCCTGCCAGCGGTAAATATGACACCCTGCTGCTGGCCACAAAGGACGTTTTTGTTCACAAGGTAAATGCCGTGGCTGAGAGTTAGTTACAAACTGCCAGCGCGGGCAGGAGCAGGGTGAAGGCAAGGGCTCACGCATTGCTGCGTTACGAGGGCTGGCGGTCACATGCCTGTTTGGACGTGTGCCGGATTAAGTCATTGCTGAGGGAGAAAATGCTTACATGCTGTAATGCAGGAGAGCGGCGCAGCTGCAGCTGGGGGAAAAGGATGCACAGGCTCCTGCTCAGAGGGTTCCCATTCAACAGAAACTTCCCGGCATCCAGACAGGAGTGTGTTGTAACAGTCCCAAGCACCTTAATCCTGTCTGCGGCCATACTCCGGGTTGCAGAAGGCCTTTCTCATGCAAGAGGGTTGTGTTACAAGAGAGCTGCTTTGTCAGAGGAGCTGCAAGACATGCCAACAATATGTGCTCAAAACTGCCGATGACGTGTATTGGCAGATGCACAAACCAAAACTGCGTGGAGGGGTGTGGGGAGGTTGTTTTTCTTGCCCATGTCCCAGCAGGATGTCATGGCTCTGGTGCTATCATTAAAACCTCCCCCTTTACCTTGGGGAAGGCATATGGTCAGGGAGAAATCAGCTATGCTATTGCCATGAGAAATTAAGTCTGGAAATAGCCACAAACAGTGGTTTTGTCCCAGGTCTCATCTCCTTCCCACGCTCTGTTGCAGAGGAGCTTCCAGAGGAGGCCAACGCAGCTGGGTGGGCTCGGGGGGCCAATGCCAGTGGCTGCACCCGAAGCAGGGCTGGGCTGGAGGCAAATACCCACCAGGAGCAGGCGCAGGCCAGCTGGGGGTTCCCCATATCTGCAGCCAAGGGGCTGGGAAGTCCCTATTGCTGTCCTCCCACCCCACTGTGGTTCCCAGCTATGTGGGCTCGAGTGATGTCCTGCCATGGGCCTCTTCACCATCAGCAGGAGGAAAATCAGGGGTCTCTTTTTCTCATGGCTTTCTTGAACCCTCATTACCTGCAATGCCACTCAGTGACCTCTGTCATGTTAATAACGATATAAAATCAGCGAATGAGCACTCGAGAGACCAAAGGACAAATTTCCGTGTCTGCTTGGTGGCTGTTCCAGTGTGACTGGGGGGGGCAGGCTTTTTTTTTTTTTTTTTTTTTTTTTTTTTTTTTTCCCCTCCCCAAAGGGAGGGTCTTGAGTGTGGATGGCAGTGATCTCTGGGTCAGTGAAGTGCAAGGTTGAAACCGGTGATTAGGAGGTGGAGGTGGCCAGGTGCCAGCAGGGGACTGGGTGCAAACTGCCACCATGGTCCCCTTGGCACAGGGGGGCTCAGGTGGCCTGGCTGGCCTTGCTGCTGATGCACCAGTTGCAGTCTGGGTTTGAGGCTGGCTGATGCTCCATGAGTGATAAAGCAAAGCATGTTCCCTGTGCAATAACTCAAGACAGCTGCTGATGTACCTCATGCTGCCTCCATCCCTTCTTACTGTGAACATTTTCCATGCAATTTTACTTTCTTTGTTACTTCATTACAAAATCCCATGTGATAAAGTGATATACAGGGAGGCAGAACAGGTGGGAAGTCTGGTCCTGGGTTCCCTTCTTGTATGGGATGTGGACTCCTTGCTAACCCTGGGTGACCAGCCAGCCTTTTCAACTGCTCATTTTTAGTTCTCCGAGTAGATCTTCTTCCAGTGTGAGCTGGAAAATGCAGAGAAATTTTTTTGATTCAAATTTTGGGTGACAAGTTGGTCAGTCATTATTTTTGTTAATGTAGTTCTTATTATCATTAAGAATGACAGTAAAAAAAAAAAAAATTCATTCTTGTACCTGACTGAGATAAAAGCAAACAGAGAATTCACCACCCACCTCCCCACAAACAAAAAACCCACCTCTGAGAAAAGTTTCTGACTGAAAGTTTTCACACCTGAAAGTTAACGTTTGACAAAATTACTAGTAACTATGAATGGGTTGTTATGATCAGCGGTGCAGGAACCCACCAGCCCTGTGTGCTTGTTTGTCCCCAGAACAGAGCTGTATCCATCGGTGGCAGTCAGATGGTGTCACCTGTGGCCTGAGCCCACATTCCTCATGACTGGTGATTTTCATCGTGAAAAATATATTGCTGAGCCACTGGCCAAGCACTGACCAGCACTGCCTTGTGCCTCAGCCTTTTCCTCAGTAAATGATGCTAATGACACCTCTTTTATAAAGATGTGCATGGGAAACACTCTGTAAGGACAAGCTGTTGTTACTGTTAGTCATCCCAGACGGGGAGACTTTCTGCCTGTGTTATCAGCCCTGCTAGTGGGATCCACGCTGGCATGAAATCTATTGAGTTTGTTGCCTAAGCAGCCAAAAAAAAAAAATCTCATTTTTAAATTTTTTTTTTCCTGTTTTTTTTCCCCCTTTCTTTCCGTGTGGCAGAACCATCCGGCTCAGAGTCGCAGGGCAAAGGCAGCCTGTCGGAAGATGAACTCATCAGTGCCATCAAGGAAGCCAAAAGCTTTTCCTTTGAGGCCCCCGAGGTGCAGCGGTCACCAGCCCTTTCTGTTGAGAAGAGAGACCAGCGGGTCAAACCTGGGCGCCCTGCTATGTCCTCACCCCTGGATAACGAAGCCAGCAGCGCCGAGTCGGGGGACTCGGAGATTGAGCTGGTCTCGGAGGACCCACTGGCTGCTGAGGAGGTGCTGCACTCCAACTACATGACCTTCAGCCACATCGGAGGGCCCCCTCCGTCACCCGCCTCCCCCTCCATCCAGTACAGCATCCTGCGGGAGGAGCGTGAGGCTGAGCTTGACAGCGAGCTCATCATCGAGTCCTGCGACGCCTCATCGGCCTCCGAAGAGAGCCCAAAGAGGGAGCAGGACTCCCCTCTGATGAAGACCATGGTCATGGACATTATCAAGGAAGAGAACGGCTCGCGTGCTGATGCCTCAGACTACGAAGCAAGTAAAACGACAGAGAGCAGGATGAACAGGGAAAACCTGGCGGAGTCCGCGTCCTACCTGAAAAGCTCCTTTGTTGCACCAAAAGTAGGTGCTGAGCCCCCAACCTCTGCCGTCAGCACTGAGGAGCTGAAGGAAAGAATAATCCTGAAGAAACCCATTGAAGAAACTGTTGTTAACCAAAGTAAAGTGTCTTCCAAGGACTCTGGCAAAAGAAGTCCCTTGGCTTCACCCTTACTGCCATTTTTAAATAAGCAGAAAGGTAAATGCAGATTTTATGTTGGTTTTTGCAGTGCTACGGAGAAGGGGGAGGAGGGAGAAGTGCCTGTTCCTTGCAGGGGATGTGTTAGTAGTGCCGAGCAGGGGGAGCTGCTGGCACTGGATAACCTCGGCTTGAGGCTGAGCACGCCTGTGACAATGCACACATCACCTCTGACCTTCCCATCCTCTTCTCATTTTCCTCAGGAAAAAAAAAAATACCAGCAACAATAATTTCTAGGCTTAAGCATATAGGTTCTGGATCAAGTAGGAACCCCAGTAATGTAAAGCTGATTCGTACATCAGGCACCTGGTGGACAAAGAGCAACAAATGGTCATTTTTCCTTTGAAATAGTACCTGCCTTGCCCCAGGGAAGGGGTGCAGTCAGGGAGGTGGTCCTGCTCCTCTCAGAAATGTGAGGAAGTTTTTGAGGATACAGCTAGGAAAAAAGAATGATTCAGAGGAGAGAGGTTGGGTTTGGTGGGTTTGGGTGTTTCTGAAGCTGGTGCAGCTTAAACAAATCTCTCTCATGGTGGCTGACACCCTCCAGTCCTGCATAATGAGGGTTTTGTGTACACTTCCAGGCTGATGCAGGGAGGCCCGTGGCCTAGGGGTGCTCATCCTAGGTCTGCGTGCCTTGGGGGCATCCTATGTGCCCCTCTGAAAGCCCCTTCCCTAATCTAGCTCTGGGATGGGGAAGGGCAGGACACTTCCCTGGTACTCAGGTGAGCTCAAGAGCACTTGTCTCCCGTAGGATCTGTTCAAAGCCAGTGTAGAGCCAACCAGGTCCAGGCTTGCTGTGCCAGGCACTGAGGTCCAGCTGGACCCACCAAATCTTTAGAGCCACCACCAACTTTTGGTCTGAGCTAAACCCTGAGGACCAAGGGGTAGCACATGGTCACTGCACACTGACACTGCCAGGGGTCCCTGAGGCCTGTAAGGGGCTTAGTTCACAAGGCGTACAAGAGAAAAAGGCATTTTATTCTTTCCAAGCTGCCAGCTCTAAATAGCCAGGACCTTTGTGTGCCTCTGGGTTTGTAGGCTGGTGTGGGAGGGAGGGATGCTGGAGCTGCCCCACACCTGCACTCCTCCTCCTCTGCTGTCTCCCCAGGTTTGGCTGGGTGGTGGCAGCTGTCCACTTCTCTTCTGTCAGATGGGGGTTTTCAATTCAGAGAGCTGCTGCTTCCTTGCAAACAGCTGGATAGAGATGGGGGGGGGCAAGTCCCACCCCTGCTGCTTAGAGAGCATCTTTTTCCTCTTCCGCGTTTGTGCAGACGTTTGACCACATGATGGCCTGGAGATGTGGCAGACACATTTAAGTAGCACACTTTTACAACTGATTTATCTAGTGCTGTGAACCCAACCATGCAAGTCTACTGAGGATTGCAAGATATGCAGTGCAATAAAATATGTTAATACTGATATTCTTAGCAGTAATGAACTAATGACACTAATAGGCTGAATAAGAAACATGTGATTATTGCTTGTAAGTATGTTTTTCTGCTAGATTCTCAGAGCTCGCAACATCATGCTGTGCATCTCTCTGCTCCCTCAGGGGAAGGGTGAGCTCCAACCATTTCTCTTCCCCTTCCCAAATTCCCCTTTTGTAGGCCTGGCCCAGGCCCTGCCCAAACCTTAGAAGCTGTAGGGTTGACTGAATTTACCTTACCCACCCTTCCTGCAGCATCCACCGTTGGGTCTCTGCAACCATGTTGTGTTCTGTGTGTTGTTTTAGGCAGATGACAACAATTTGGTCTTGGATTTGGAGAAAGTAGTTGGAGAATATCACACGGGCAGCTAGTTGCCTGTCTTGCAATTTTGACATTTCAGGCCCCATTACAATTTTAAGTCCCCCTTGATTGTATTCAAAATTTTTTGGCCTAACTTTTGTCTCTCATTTAATTTCTGTCATTGCCTAAACTGATGCTAGCAGAAGCTTGTTCTCATGTGGTGGTCAGAGAAAGTCCCTGTGTGCATGAGCAGACTTTCTCTCTGCGTCGCAGTGTGTCAGTGTTTCCTATCTGTATTCATGTAGGACAGTAGTGGCAGGAATGTTTCCTCCAGGACAGACACAACACAGCTAATTGCTATTTGGCGGTGCGTAGAGGACTATTTCAGTATGCGCTTTTCTCCCTTGAGACACTCCAGTGCCTAAGGCAAGGAAAACGAAACCATAAAGCCTTTCAAGAAGATTATTGCAAAAACTTGTGTAACTTTTTAAAGCTGATTACAAGGTATAGGGAGGTGGGCTCAAGATAAGAAAAAATGGTTGATAGTGGGGTCCAGTTTATGCTACCTTGCAGTCATGCGTATTTGCTTCATGGGTCGCTGTTAAATTTTTAAGTTGAAGGTAGAGTATGGGGCTGTCCTTCTGACCTGGGAAAGGAGAGCTTGTCCCTCACTCAGAGAATTCACGTGAAACTCTTCAGCAGTTTTTCAGTTATCAGAGGCGAACTGGGGGCTTGGTGGAACCAGAGCAACCCCCACGGGTCCTCCCAGGCTCCATCAGCCTGGAGCTGCATCAGCTGGCAGGGAAATGATGTGGCAGAGCACATCCAAGTGGACAGGGACTGCCTTCATAGCATCAACTTGAGGTCTTGGCAGAGCTTTACATCATGGCATCATACATGTGTCATAGGCCAACTCAGATGCACCTGGCAGGCAGTTGGCACAGCCAAAGTGATGAGAATAGAGGGAGACGTGGCAGCGCCGCACAACGGAGGTGCAGCAGAACTATGTCACCCAAAGGAAAAACAGTATCATCATTCATTAAGAGAATTATCTTAACTATAGTTGTCATTAAAAGAATACTAACAAGATGTGACTATGTACTTGTTAAAAGATAGAAAACAGAAAAGATTCCATCACTTCCTGTCACCTCCTTGTTACACGTCACCTTGGAAGCGTTATGCTACCACCACACATCATTATTAAGACAGAATGGTTCTAGTGGTGTTCACAGAGTCCAGGTGGGGACTGGTCCCCCAATGGCCATGGCAAGTCCCACCTGAGTTCAGGGCAGTGCCAGCCCAGTGTTTCTGGAGATTCATAGGAAACTGATGGATCAAATGAAGCTGTTCAACATGCCTGGCTGTGTTTTCGACACCCAGCTGTAGATCTTTCTGTGGCCCTTGGCCAGGTCATAGCCAGGTATATGTAATTTAAAAATTGTCAGCTATCAATTTCACATGTAAGTGTTAACTATTTTACAGCATCATACTGTAATACCACCAAGGAGTCTTTTACTCACATCCATAGCATTAAATTTACTTTGCACGGCTCATCAGAAGGCTTTGCCCTGGGCTGGCAAGACAAAAATTCATTTTGAGTGCAGACTCCAGGAAATACATAAAGCTGCAGAAAGTGAAAGCCCAGTGTTCAGTCCGACCCCAGGAACAGTCTTGCTGATCATGTTGCTGCCAGCCTGAAGCTTAATCCCTCAGAGACCTTCCTGGTGTGTCGGCTAGGCATGCTGAAATCATGGCCATTCCCCTAAATAAGCAAGTGCACGTGTGGTTTGCGCAGTGATAACTCAACGTCTCTGCTTAACGTCTGTTGCCATCCAGTGGCAATAACAAAAATGGGCAGTGACTTCCTACCTCCATTTTACTGGAGCAATCACGATTTGAAAGAGCGCAGCTATTCCCGTGCTGTTAACCGCTAAGCAGCCTTGCCCGCTTTTCCTAACGGTCAGAAAGATGGCACTGCTTGCTGTAGCACAGGCTTTGTTCTGGCCAGGGCTGTGCAGTTCCTACCTACCTTAGTGTTACTAATTCCTTTGCCTCCTGTGAAGCAAAGAGGGGAAGGCAGAGCTGTAGCAAGACATTTGCTGTTTGGCTGTCACTGCCCCCATGTCTCTACTGGCATCCCCTTCCAGAAGTGGACACGGCCCTTACACACCAGGGCTTAGAGCCCCTTTGGCTGTGGCTCTGCAGAAAGGACATTTCCAGCTCAGTTTGTTTTTTTTTTTTTTTTTTTTTTTAAATTCCCTGCCACTGAGAAGGAAGACCAGATGCATTTTTGTTTTCCAGTAGCCAGAGGAAGGAATGCAGATTTTTAGGTTTGTTCTAAGAAACCCTGGGGTTTTTTTGCAAGAGATTTTCACAAATTTTGGAAAATAATACAATTGATTGGTGTGGCCTGCACAGTGCTGCAACATTGCATAGTACAGGTGACGTCCAGGCTGGGCTTGCACATGGCTTGGGCTTGCACGTGGCTTGGGCATGCAGGAAATTTCAGAAAAGGCCCACTCTCCTGGAAATGTGCATCTCTTGGCCTGGGACAGTTTGCAAGAAGCCCAAAAGAAGCCTGGACCAAGACAGGCTGAGGAGGAGTGTTTTGGCTGAGTCCTTTACTGTCTTCTCTTGCCTTGCTTGTCAGTAGCTCTCTGCCAGCGTGGCCTGGCTTACCGCATGCTGCTGTCCCACAGCCTCACGACCTGATCATGGGCTCCCTTGTACTGAGGCATTATCATGTCTCTCTCCAGCCTCTCCTTCAGTGACAATATTACGAAATTCCTTCTGCTTGATCCATTTATTGAAATGTGAAGCATCTTGTTACCTGTTGGATCAGATGCCTGAGCTCAGGTTAAAAAAAAAAAAGGAAAAGTTGTGGACATTCATAGTAATGTTTACTTTCCTTTTCTTTGTATTTTATAGTGAAATTCAGCGTAGGAAAAGGAAAACCCAGGCCTGGTGCTGTGGGGTTGTGCTGTCATTCACATGCTAGATGGCACAACTGGTGGGACCTGCTGGAAATGCAGTCAAATAGAATTCATCATTTAAAATGCTTTATTCTGCAGCACAGTCCTATGCCACCCTGCTATGAAGCATTCTGATTTTTATGCCTTATGAAAGGCTTTTGTAACATTAATTGGTTAGTCCCCTCCCTGCAAGAGCAGGTCCTTACCACACACCCTTTGTGGCTGCTGTGGCTCTAAGGGATATTGAGGTTCATGGCCACCCATCTCTGTGTGGTGGCCCGGTGTCTCTCGGGCAGTGTCA